CAGCGTAATTTAGTTAGACTTCCAAGGAAAATAATGATCTAGAACTTGAGTTTTTACCTCACACTTACCAGACTGATATCTAGAACATAAGGGTGTGTAAACAAAAGCCTTACATTTTGAAAAATTTGCAGTTTTTTAAACCACTTAAGACAACCATCTAAACTGCACAAATGCTAAGCATGTGCATAGCTACTCATCCTTATATTAGCATTAGGCTACATGTGCTTACTGTTATTATTGCATGGTTTTATTTTATGTTGCACTATAAGGCATTTATCTATCCATAGCCACTGTTTTGAGGTTGCACAAGCATTACAGAACACTGACAAAACTCATTCAACCTCATGAGAAACTAACAGCATTTGTTTGGAGATGCTGAATATCACAGATTCCAGTTTAAAATGCTGCGTCACTGAGCTGGACTGTGGTGTTGCAGCTAATCATAAGACAGGTTGGAAACAACAACAGATCTGCCACCATGTTAAATTTAGCTCAATTACACAACAAAAAAACCTACACACAATCTTTGCTAAGTGTGATGCTTCTTTGCAGGCAATATAAATATCATTTGCAATTATAAATGCACTTTAAATGTATGTAATTTGAAGAAAGAAAAAAAAAAAGATTTTGGCAGCATTTTGTAAAGCTTGTCCAGCGTAGAAACATTAGCTATGAAAGAAAGCACTAGTGGTCAGAGCATGGATAGGTAATATTTCAAGCTAAATTTGTTACCGAATCTGATCGGATTTGATCTTTTTTTGTCCTCCAATATCCGTTCCGTCACACTGGCCTGATACAGATACTGGGTATTTATTGGATGGATGCCGTCTCGGGTACATATATAATCAGAAGTGATGGATGAGAGTCCCTGATTGCGTTGATGAGGTCATGGATGATGTCTAATTCCGCATCACATTTTCGAATTTGATGATACAGTAAGAAGAAGGCAGAGTAGAGCTCTATGTAAGTGCTGGCACATGGCCAGCTGTTTCGACGAGCAATGCATTCTGCTCAGGTCCGCAGAACTGACTCAGACAAATATCTACTGCATAAATAACTAATGAGTTTACGCTCCTTCTTCTCCAGCTTCTTCTCTACAACTATACCCTGCAGGACTCCCGACTAGCATCCAAAGAGCAACTTCTGAAAGAAAACCCAATAAAGTGGAGTAAAAAAACCCAAAGATGTCAACAGCACAAGGACTGTATACCATATAGTCTGAAGAACAAAAAAAAGACGACAATGAAAACAAAATCATATTTTTTGAGCAGTGTGTATGGCTGCCTTGAAGGGGACCACTACAGATGTTTCAAAATTTCTGCATAAATAAGTGGTTAAGATATAAATAGTCATTCTGAGTGGTTTGACATGGAATGCTCTGTTGTACAAAAACATACTAAATTCTCAGTGTTGGTGACAGGAACCAGATGTCTAAAGGCAAAACAGTCCCCAAAGAAAAATAATTCAGATTTACCACTATTCATCACCATCAACAGCATTACATAGACAAACTCGGGTAGGTTCACTGGTGCTTTTGCATAGTAAATAAAATGGTTACGTTTGTACTGTAGACATTGTGACCCCTGGTTCCTATCACCACCACTATAAAGAAAAATGAGTCAATAAGTTTCTTTACAATGAACCATTTCTCATTAAACCACACTGAATGACTTTACAGCTCAACCATTGAATTGTGCAGAAATTAAAAAAAAAATCTAATTCTCATTTAGCACTACTTATTTAATTTTCTCATGTTTTAGACTAAATATTGATACATGTATGAATGAATATGGTAGCGATGTTTCAGCTAAAAGAAAGTTATGCTGAGTTATTGTCAGAGTGCCATATGATGGTATAGAGAGGTATGCAGCTGACTTGGTACAGACTATGAGTGAAAAGAGAGAAAATCATGGAAAAGAAGCAGGGTTTGACCATCTCTCCTTTGCTAAAACAGCAGCCATGTTACCATCCAACCTGTTTTACGTGGAAAAAGTGAAATAAATTTAAAGTGCACAACATGGGCACCCAATATCTCTCAACATAGCTCAATTATCTTAAGTGAGTGTTTTTATATATATATATATATTTGTGAAGCTAAACATTTAATCCAATCCAATACATTTGAGTGTTAAGACTCAGTTACTACACTCTTATTGATAGTTCTTTGAAGGTTCTTTAGTATAGACAGTGGTTTACATAGAACCATGACCACGCAAAGAACCATATGTGTGCTTAAATGGTTCTCTGCATGGTGAAATGGTTCTTCAGGTTGATGGAGAATGTGTTGTATATGGTTCTATAAGTACCAAATAGGGGTCTTCTACTGTTATGGTGTCAAGCTTTCAAAAACAGAAGAGCCCTTTTTGGTGCTATATAGAATGCCTTTTAAAAAAGCTTTATAAAGAACCATCTTTTTTTTTAAAGAGTGTACTCTTATTACCCTTCATTTTTGACATCCTTTAAAATGTCCCCATGAAATTCACTTGTGGAGGGATGGAAACGTGGCTAGTGTTTGAAAACTGAAATATAAAATATAATATAGCTGGTTCTAAACTGGTTAACACAAAGAAATATTGCTCATATACCTAACACAGGAATTCCAGACTACTACTGAAAACATTTGGTATCTATATTTTGCATTGTTTTTTTGGTTTTTTTTTACAAGTCTACTTGAACAGACTGAGAAACTCCCATGGCATGTTTGAGATTTTCAACTTTTGAACAACTTTTTCATTCCATGTTCTAAACTTTCTGCTTTGTCCTCAGTGCAATTTAAAGCCAACCATTCAAAATCCTGATGGCTCAATCTGATCATTTTGAAAGCTTTGAATAGATAACTAACTCTGTTGAGTAAGAGACTGTATGTTTATGTGCTGAAGAAGTTTGTGTCATATATAGTTAAGGATTTGAAAGGATTGTAAAAACATTTGTTTATGGCGCATTTTTTTCACTTTAAAACTCTTTCCTATAAAATCAACACCAAACACAACTATATACATACTATACTGTGCATAGCGTTCATATTTTTCTTTCTAGAAATAACGTGTGTGTGTGTGTGTGTGTGTGTGTGTATGTGCGTGCGTGTATGTATATGTTTAGTAACAGTAATAACAGACTTCGTGACGTGGCCAAATAAGGAAGTCTGTGACTATACTGTTTATATCTTTGGAAAAAAAATGAATTTTTCAAAAATCGCCCATCGTGTTCTGTGGTAAACAGAAATGTTCCAAAGCTGATACAGTTTTGTCCTGTGTACATTTTTCCTGAATGTCATTGTGTCTCCTCATATATGACGTTTTTAAGTAGTTAATACAAGCAAGCTAACACTTCTGGATATTTAGCTGATCTCAATAGGTTATAAGAAAGTAAGGCTACTAGTGTGACTATAAACTACTTTCAAACTACCGTAGTATATAACACCATTAAGTAGTAGAACAGATCCTATAACTGCACTAATTCAACACTATGACAAGTTACCAGCTAAAAGGGATTTTGGAGAGCCAGTTTTAAGATATCAAATTAAACATGCATCAGAAGTGTTCATTGTCACTGTCAGGTAAAAACCTTCCATCTCCAAAATGATAACAGGACATTGAAAAATGCTACTAATTTCAAATGAATGTAAAAGTAATACAGTTATATTTTGGGTAATTTTGGATGATTTTGACTGTTCCATCTTTGATGAAATGTTTATGCAAAGGGCAGCTGACACTTTCAGATTATTTAAAAAAAAAAAATGCAGATACAAGGTTTTATCCCAACAGTGACCACTTAAAAGTTAAATAGTTAGACGTTTGGACACCCCTGCTCACATTGCATGTTTATTTGGATTTTGTTTATTTATATTGATTTGTTCATCACAAAAGTTTAATACAAGGCAAAGGCCAACTTGAGTCTTCATATAAAATGTTTTCACTTGCCAAGATTGAGTTTTGTGCAAAATATATTCACAGTTAAAATAAAATCTTGTTACATTAACTTTTAACTAAGGTTAAGACAGTTTTTTTTTCTCCTGTGTTGTTACTTTTATGCTGATATGAGGTTTTGTTCAGACAGCAATGATATAATACTCTTTACCTGGATGTTTTTTCTTGTTTAAAGTAATTTTATCATGTGAGAGTTTTATTCTGTAGGCAGATCATGTTGCATTATGTCTTGAAAAAGCAAACTATCTGCATTATATCTCAAATCAAGCAAAATTATGTCAGTGGAAGACACTTTCTCTAGAAAATTACTCAAAACAAGCAAAAAGTGTCTAGAAATAGAATGAATAATCTGATAATATTCTTACGACAGTGCATTTTCAGTGTATTCCTACTACTACTTTGTGACTTTGTCATTCAAATGACACAGTGATATGCATGAAAACTTACATAGGACAAAATGTACAGGCTTTGGAAGTCGCTGGTTAACCACAGTACTTGATAGTGACGATTTCAGAAAACACCATTCATTTTTCCCATAGAAAAAAAAACAGCCTGGACCTGGGGCTTGTTTGGATGCTAATGCCAAACCATAAAATCATGACACGTTCTCAGGGGTCTGTTCCCTGCTGATCAGTCAGTAAATACGGAATTCATTTCTCCTCTTTGTCTGTGGACTCAGGAAACATTGTGTTACAGCATTTTGCTTTGCATTCCACTGTATGTTAATGACTGTTTGAAACTAATGATGTGTGCAGTTTATGTATACAATCATTCAGAGCTGGATCACATGACCATTTAGAGCACTGTAACCCCTTACTATTGCCAGCGAAGGGAGAAAAGTGAGTTATAGGAATTATGAGTACTGGTATGTTGGATAATATATATGTTTATATGTGGGTGTCAGTGTGTGTGTATAAAGAGAGCATGTCTGAAGCAGATATTAGGCCTTCGCTGCCGTAATAAAATAGGGGCAATCTCAGAAGACAACAGAGCGCCAGACGCAAGCAACCAGGCAGAAGAAGGTCCTGTGTGTTTGCATTCATATGTGTGTGTGTGTGTGTGTGTCTCTCTCAGGTCTCTCAGTTCAAGGCCCACTGCAGTGCCAGGGTGAGGATGAGGATGGTGAAGGTGGGCAGAGTGAGTGGAGCATTGCTGGATCCAGGATTGGAGTATCTTACAGAAGGTTCATGAGGAGGAGCCATCACCACATCAGTACCTTTGGTAGAGTCTGTAAGGGCGAGAGAGTAAGAGAGAGAGGGAGAGAGAAAGAGAGAGAGCAGTCATTCTTTTTATTCTTTCCATTAGAAATTTTCTTTTTGTCCATGATCCCAATCTGAGTCATTTAAAGGGCTCATATCAGAAATTCCTCATTTTTCTGAAATGTTTGAAAGTTTCAAAACGTTCCATTCACTTCCCAGTCCATACAGTGCATGTATGGAAATCAGTTTACATAAAGCATATTCACATATAAGCCCCTATTCAGACTACAGATGTTTAGCTCCACCCATTCACACTTAAGTTATAAAGAGTGTTTCAGCCCAGACTGCCTTGGCAGCCAATCAGGAAACTCAATTTTATAAATCAATATTAAAAGCACAGTAAAAAAAAACATGTCAATGGGATGAAGAGAGGTTGAAAGGCATGTATGAATGAATTATGACTTTATGGTACAAACTCAGCTCCAAAAATTTGGGACAGTAGGAGAACTGTAAATAAAAACAAAGCAATAACAAATTCTTTTTGACCTGCATACAATTGAAAACACCAAAGATATATAATCTTTCAGCTAATTAAGTCTATTGTTTTTTGTATATACGCTTATTCTAAATTTAATGCGTCCAACATGTTCCAAAAAAGTTGAACCCATGATACTGAAACCATGATACTATCAACTGTTAATTATTCACCTCTTTGCCTGTGGAAAGCACAGCTGTTGATCATTCCACAAACTTCCCAGTATTACACTGCCCGTGTCCCAGCTTTTCTGGAATGCGTTGCAGGCATCAAATTTGTAATTACCATATATTTACAAAAATCAACAGTTGATAAGATAAAATATTAAATCTCTTCTTTGTGCTATTTTTAATTCAATACATGTAAGTCACTGTTTTCTGTTTTTGTTTGCATTTTGCCTTCTAACCCAACATAAACATACAGAATAAGTGGGGCTCAAGGGAAAAAAAAACAAACAAAGCAAGTATCTGCCAGAACAGAGTCCTACCTGAGATTTGTATTCTCTTACATATGGTCATTATCACGGTATCAGATGACAGATTTTAAGGTTCATCAGGAACTCTGTACAATCTTAATGAAGACCTGGATGTAGTGTGAGCTGGCTGAGAGAAGTTTTGGGCATGTATTTAAGGAAAAGATTTAGGTGACTACTGACTTCTAATAACTGTTAGCAACGTTAGCCATGTAGCTCCGATTCTAAGTGGAAGAAGCAAAATCTGGACACCAAACTTGCCTTACCTGATCAACTACATCTGAGTAAAGTGGAAAACTGTGCAAGTTAGATTTTTTTGCCAAACTTTAATAATGTTAATAAGTTAGCATTAATAAGGTTACTGAATCCTGAGTGCTGGTGCTGAACAGTGTCTAATGAATCTGAAATAGTTACTTCTGATTGGACTCTTTCATTTTCTTCTCTTAGAATTACACTAAAGGGAAACGTACACAGTATTGTAAAGGTTAACCAGGCAGAAAGCACATGTTCAGAAAGGAAACTTATTTATTTAGTCTTCATTTATTTTGAACTGGGCACAGAACAGGAACAGCTATTTTATGGGTATTATTATCATCATCTATCAAATATATTGCTAAAAATATTGCTGAAAACTGAAAAGCAATATCACGGTATGCCAATATCACACTGATACATTGCCAAACAGTAGATTTTCTTCGCCAAACTTTCCGCTACTTTGTTTTTTCTGCTACTAAGTCTTTTGCGTTTCATTTAATCATGATCTAATGTAAACCTGAGCTCCACTATGAAGATGCGCACAAAGGTTTTTTGTGCAAATTCCCCACAGAGAGGCTGAATGAAAATAGATAAAAGAGCTAATGTGGCCCGGTGGAGATGCATTAGAGTGCAGCAGCGATCCACTGTCTCCATTAAAACACATTAAAGCTCTTAGACTGCTGTATCAGGGACAGACTGCAGCAGGTAATGGAGCTTAAACATCTACTCGTTCTCAAAATACACCCACCGCCAATCAATCAGCAATGATACGCTCACAGCAAATGACAAAGCACACACACACACACACACACCTTTCTTTACAGACGAAAGATCTGGCCACTCTCATTTTCTCAAATGCTCTCATGAACTCTCACACACACATAAATGCAGTGGTGACTCATGCTTCGTACTGATTGCTGTCAGTAATGGACGATCCTCAGAAATTCTCCACAGCCAGTCAGCGATAGATCAGTGAAATGGAGACGGAACAAGATCATCCTTCTCCATAACGGACACTGTGGGTGCGTGATAGAGAAAGAAAGCGAAAGAGAGAGAGAGAGACGGATCTTTACCGTTCCATCACCATCACACAGGGGTGCATTACCACTCTATTATTTTTCTCCATGTAACCCCCCGTCAAAAAGCTTCTTCTTCTCATCTCCTTATTTGTCTCTCTCCTCCTCTGTCCCCCTTCCTTCCCCTCCATTTCTCTGAGCTCTTTTCTCTGATACATGCAGTGATGGCAGGATCGAAGTGAATTAACTCAGAGTGTGTGTGTGTGTTGTGTCAGTGGATTAACAGAGATAAGCGGAGATGAGTGTGCTGCTCTGTGCTAAAACCATCAGACTCGACGCTCTTTAGCTCAATGCTGACCTTAACCCTTAGAGGTGGAGATTTTACTGTAGTTCTGCTGTACTGTTATTACTGTACATTTAGGATGACGGAGGGTCATGCCTCTCCCAGTATTCGGAGGAGAGTGATCACTGGCCAAGAAATATTATTATTATTAGTTAAAAATCATTGTTTTTAAAGCAACTACTTTATTCAAGAAACATATATATCGCTGCTGTCAGAACAAAACCTCATATCTTTATTTTTGTTTTTCAGTTTTTGAAAAATATATCCTGTATATCCTGTTCTCTGTTAGATATTTCTTCACTATGCATTCAGCTGTATTTATTCTGACCTGTAATGGTATGTAATTGGACATCTGCTACATGAAAATCTTCAACAATTGCAGTAATAGTTGTAATAATCCATTTATTAAACATTTATAAAAGATATGTAACAATAAAAAATTGATTCCTGTATGTTATAGGTAGTGTCAGGTGATTTCTGATGTCTACTGCATTAGAACTAGTAGGAGTTTAACATGTCACTAGTACGCCGATCAATGTTCTACAGTTGTAGTCGTTACTAATCACTTTTTAGATGCTAAAAAAGGGCTAAACGAGTTTTCTGTTTAGATATAACTTGTCTTTTGGTCCTATTATGTGATTTAACTTTACATTTTTACATCTCCCCCATCTAATGTTACTGTTTATATTATGTACAGTGTCCAGTGTTGTAAATGGCCTGTGCAGTGTTGTAGTGTTTGAGCATTTCTATCACTAATGTTTAGTGTTACTGTACGCAGTTCACTGGTTCATCTACCTAAACTGGTTCATCTACCTCTAAGGTAACACCACCAGTTTTTATTTTATTTATAGGTAATGTCATATATTGTCTCCCCTTCACAGACAGCTTTTTATCTTCTTTGAATCTCTACTGCTTGCCCATCCAGTGCTGAACCAGCAGCGTCAGCAGCTACTTTTAGTGTGGAGCCTGTCAAGCCTGCTTCTTTGAAAAAGAACACTGCTTCACCAACAAATGATGTCTTTCATGAAAAAATTACACGAGTACCTAATAAGAATGTAAAACTGACCTCTACATCGGAGAAAGTATAAACAAGGACTTTGTCTGCATTCTCATTTGTAAACTCTGCTGCTGTTTAATTTTTCCTACTGTGACAACGTCCGCTGCATTGAATATGAAAGTGTGAAAAGGGTTCATGTGCACACTGCCTAAGGGGAAACAACAGCTGTGTCTCCATTGACTTTCTGCACAAACTGCAAGCAAAAAAATGCAAAAAAAAAAAACAAAAAAAAAGAAATATATATATATATATATATATATGTATAATTATAAAAATTGGGCTATTGGGCTTGATCTTTAGCGCGAAAATGCTTTACTTAATGATACCATTTCCTCCAAAAAAGCTTAATAATTTTCAGTTTATCTGTAATAATAGGTGTGCTTGACATGTTTCCATCTAAGTTCATATAAGTCACAACCAGTGGTTGATGGCTAAATGTATCAGCTAAAATTTCATAAAGCAATGCAATCTCAAGCTGCATTGTAATAATTGTAGCCAGTGGTCTTTTAGTGGGCATAGCTCATGCATATGTTGGACAGTATAGACATACCTTCAAACTATTGCTGCACAAGCAGAAGTTTTGGATCGATTTTATAAATTAATTTCTGTCTTGTTACTGACTCCTACCCTTTCATCATGACACAGGACAGAACAGTTCCAGTGGCTGATGCTTGGCTTCCCTGACTTCCCAGTAACTTTTTGAAAGGAGATTTTGTTTGTTTGTTTATTTATTTTCCTCTGTTATGTGAGAGATCACACATTCTCTGCCTTATAGAGCTGTTTGAGAACACTCCTGGACATCTCTCTCTGTAAGTCCTGAAAAGCAGCAGCATCTCTTTTAAAAGCGTTCTCGTCTCTTACTCAGTCCAGCTCTGCCTCTCCGCTATGCTGTTTGTGTTAGTTGTATGAGACACGTGAGGTAAATCTGTCACAGGACACTAAACGTAGGCGTAAACACATTATTTTTCCTGAAATAAACATCCCCAGTAAAGTTTTTTGCAACATTTCTGGAATCGATAAAGATTTTTTTCTGCCAAAGTTTTGTCAACTTCCATTAAATATTACTGGAAGTTTCCATAGTCTACACCAGCAAACGTTTTTGAGAGTTAAAACATGTTTTTGCAACAAAGAAAGCACAGAAACATGGATAACATCATGCTTTTCCTTTTCAGATCTATTACAAACCCTATGATTAGGTCCAACACTCCTACTGTACAGTCAAGTGGACTAATAGTGGACTAAAATGCCATAATAAGTATTTATAACTTGCCATAAGGATGTAATCAATATGTTATAAACACTTCACAGGCCTGTAGTACCACTCTGTTAGATCATTGCAGAGCACCACGTGTAACAAGCTTGTATTGGCAAACTGAACCACTTGTAGCATAAAGCTGTCTCAGTTTCCATTAAGACATCGCCACCTCCTCCCCAGCTCTCTCTTCTCTTCTGTTGCTATTGTTTTCCTGTAGGACAATAGAAAAAGAGGCAGTTGTGTTTAGCGAGAAAGAGGCGGTTGTTCAGCTCAAACGAGTGTGAAGAAAGGCGTGGAGAGGCTATCAGGAAAGTATTAGCTTCTCCTCAGGACACTCTACAACAGAGGAGATGGCATAAAATGGGCGTTTGTGATCTTTACACTGCAACTCAGGCCAGAAACATTCCACTCACAACCACAGTACACAACCGTTATGTTCTACGCAAAATCAATTTCACGGCTCATTTTGTTCTTAAATGTATCAGATGAAATTTCATAATGCAGTGCAATCTCAAGCTACATTCTGAGAGATGCAGCAAGTGGCCTTTTAGTGGGTGTAGCTCATGCATAGGCTGAACAACAGAGACACACGTTCAAGTTACTGTTGTACAAGCAGAAGTTTTGAGTTCACGTGGTTGATGGTTGGTAATTGTTTATTTTATTAATGCAACTTTTTAGTTTCTGTCAATAGCCTGATTAGTAGTGAATGATCAGGCCATAGACATTTACATCTGTAACCACTGACTGCATTGTTATATTTTTACGGTAGCACTTTACTTCAGTAATAATCAGTCATATGCAGGTAATTATATGGTTATATTATAGTAACAAGCTGTACAACACTAAAAAATGTGATTTTCAAGTCACAAATTTTATAAGTTAGCAATTGAAGTGCAAGTTGGTAATAAAATAATAAAAAAAAAATATTGGTATCTAGTTGTACTAACCTAAAAATGATATGCTAAATTACTAGTTGTTTATCATAATTATTAGGAAGTTAAGATAAATTTAGATTAAAAAAAGATAAGCATGTTAATAAAGATAAGTGTGATGTGGTTCAAGTCTTT